TTTTTTTTTTTTTTTTTTTTTTTTTTTTTTTTAGAGAGCGTGGAAGGGAGGGAGGGGGGAAGAGAGAAGCATCGATGTAAGAGAGACACATCGATTGGTTGCCTCCCGCAGGCTCCCCAACCGGGGCTGGGGATTGAACCTGCAACCCAGGCACGTGCCCTTGACTGGGAATCAAAGCTGAGACCCTCGGCTGTGTGGGCCAACGCTCCACCACTGAGCCGCACCGACCAAGGCCGAATTCCGTTATTGCTACATAGGAAAAGTCAGGTTAAGTATTTAAAGATCAAGATTTTTCAGGGTTTAGGGAACCAGTCAACACATTGATTCATATGCGTTTAGTACTGAGTAGTGAATATGTTACTATGCACGGCCTGCTACAATAATCTCATTAGGGTTATAATCAGAGAAATCGAGGAATATGAAATCTCAAGGATGGAGAGAGGAACGGGAACCTGCGTACGCCGATGTGGAATGGAAAGTGGGGCAGCCGCTGGAGAAAGCAGCCTGGCAGGCNAAACGGGAACCTGTGTACGCCAATGTGGAATGGAAAGTGGGGCAGCCGCTGGAGAAAGCAGCCTGGCAGGCCCTGCCCTGGTAGCTCAGTTGGGTTAGAGCATCGCCCTGATACATCAAGGTTGCAGGTTCGATCCCTGGTTGGGCACAAACGAAACGAATACATAGATAAGTGGAACAACAAATCTATGTTCCTTTCTCTCTCTCTAAAATCAATCAATAAATTTTTTTAAAAAGAAAGAAAGCAGCCTGGCCATTCTTCAGAATGCTCACCGTAGTGCCNAAATAAATTTTTTAAAAAAGAAAGAAAGCAGCCTGGCTATTCTTCAGAATGCTCACCGTAGTGCCCAGCAGTTCGACTCCTAGATATATACCCAAGAGACATGCAGATACATACACAGAAACTTGGACACCAGGGTTCACAGCAGCATACAGCCGGAATCTAACACCAACTCAAACAGCCATCCGCTGACAAATGGATAAAATGTGGCATTCCGTACGGTGGAATATTACTCGGCCATGAAAAGGAACGTAGAAATACGCGCTCTACGTGTATGAACCTTGCAACATGACACTGCGTGAAAAAGCCAGGCACAACATGCCGCGTATTGTGTAACTTATTTTCTGCGAGCTGTCCCGGGAAGGCAGGTCCGTGGAGACAGGAGGCNGTGACACTGCGTGAAAAAAGCCAGACACAACATGCCGCATATTGTGTAACTTATTTTCTGCGAGCTGTCCCGGGAAGGCAGGTCCATGGAGACAGGAGGCGGACGAGCAGTTGGCGGGGCCTGGCGGGATCTGGGAGCGACTGCTAATAGGCCTGCGGTTTCTTTGGGGTTAGCGACGGGTCCTCAAGTTGACGATGGAGGTGGTTGAGCAGCAGGGTGAATAGACTAGGAAGCATTCACTGCGATATTTCTTGGGTGAACTGCAGGGTGTTGGGGTGTATCTCAGTAAAGCTGTTACAGAGGTCATCGAGCTAGGTAGGGGATTAATGTTTGAGAAGCGATTCGTGAATTATGGAAGTGGTCGGTCATTACTGTTTGGATAAAGGCGACTCGGGCAATGAGTCCCTGTTCTTGGTTGCGTGTGTCCCTGAGCCTTTCGTGCCGTTCCCTGTTCCTTGGGCGAGTGGCAGCCCACGTGCTGGCAGAGGCGGACCCCCGCGTGGGAACCGGGGCAGCCTCGGGGCCCAGGTGGTCCCTTTCCCTCCTCGGCAGCCTGGAGGCCGGTCACGGGGCCTGGGTGGCCGGGGGCAGGCGGCAGGCGTCGTGGCAGGCAGGCTGCGCTCCTGGCTGCGTCCCGGGCACCTGCTTTGCGCATGCGGGGAGCTCACTGGCCGCCCTCCTTTGTCGCAGGTTGAAGAAGGAAGCAAAGCCGCAGCAGTGGACAAGTTGCTGGCTGGAGACGAGATCGTGGGCATCAACGACGTCGGTCTCTCGGGGTTTAGACAGGAAGCGATTTGCCTGGTGAAGGGCTCCCACAAGACGCTGAAGCTGGTGGTGAAAAGGTAAGACCCTGGGCGACTGATGGTTTATTGTTTGTTTTGATTTATTAGGTGAATTTGAATGGTCGTATCTTTCCTTGGCAGTGCGTAGATTATTTTCTTGGCAGAGAAGCACACTCTGTTTTTGTTCCAAATGAGCGGTGTTGTTGGCCATCGCTTACACCCAGTGGCAGGCTGCGCTGAAGGTAGAGGGTGACCGCAGGTGGACGGGAGAGGGGGTGCCAGGGGCTCCTGAGCCGTGCTGAGGTCTGAGGGAGCCAGCGGCCGGTCCCTGGAGGTTGGCTTGTGGATAGAGGTGTGGGCGATTTGCAGAAGTTAGAAAGCGAAGTTAAAGGTGGGGTGCTTTCACGCTCACGAGCTAGAACAGGGCTCCTGGACGCCACGCAGGTACCTGTGACTGGCTTCCGTGTAGAAATAACTCTCCGCCTTGCATTTTGTAGCTGCCTGATTCATGCCCTTTTTAGCAGAATTAGTGCACTCTTTCCAAGGTTGACTGTAAATTTTAAAAAATGAATTGACGCCCGGCCAGGCGTGGCTCAGCGGTTGAGCATCGACCTAGCATCCCGGAGAGCACTGTTTGATTCCTGGTCGGGGCACACGCCTGGGTTGGGGGCTCGATCCTCGGGGGCGTGCAGGAGGCAGCCGATCAATGACGACTCTCTCATTATTGATGTTTCTATCTCTCTCTCCCTTCCTCTCTCTGAAATCAATAAAGATATATTGAAATAAATGAATAAATAAAAAATAAATCAAAACATTTTTTTCAAAGGCAGCAACCTTTTTTTTTTTTAAAAAAAAATGTTTTCATTGATTTTAGAGAGAGGAAGGGAGAGGGAGAGAGAGAGAAACATTGATGAGAGAGAAACATCTGTTGGCTGGTGTGACTCAGTGGTTAGAATGTCATCCCTTGAACCGAAGGGTCGCCGGTTCAATTCCCAGTGAAGGGCATGTGCCTGGATTACAGGTCCGTGTCCCCCAACCCCTCCCCTTTCTGTCCCAGCCTGTGCGGGAGGCAGCCAGTCAATGTGTCTCTCTCACATTGACGTTTCTCTCTCTTTCTCACCCTCCCTCCCTGTCTTCCACTCTATCTAAAAGCAATGGAAAAATGTCCTTGGATTAGGATTAAGGGGAAAAAAAACCGAAATAAGCATATAAAAAGATGTTTAGGAATCTGTTTATTTTCCAATGAGACACTAGGTTTTGCGTCTCGGGTTCTCTGATAGAGCAGCAGTGCCCCCTGCTGGAGATTTGTGGGAAACAAGGACTTGTTAGGATGCTGCTTAGGTGACAAATGAGACAACTTCCCCGGTGAGCAGCTTGGCAACGCGTCTCAACAGGCACATCCCGGACCCAGACTGTCATTTCTGGGATCCTGGACGTTCAGCAGAGGGAAATTCCGCAGTGAATGGAGGACGTCTGTGCTGTTGAGTGCTGGCTTTACCAGGGGTGTCGGCATCTCCTGGCATGGAGGGGTGCCTCTAAGTCCAGTTGGGGGGACACACACATGCGTTTATAGATACATCCGCTTTAAAAAAAAAAGTTTCAATTTCTAATTGTGGTAAAATAGACATAACAAATTTGCTATCTTAATCATTTTTAAATCTACCATTTAGCAGCATATGACTTTTTTTTTTTTTTAAAGAATAGTTTATTGATTTTTAGAGAGGAAGGGAGAGAGAGAGGGATAGAAACACTGATGAGAGTGCACCTTGATCGGCTGCCTCCTGCACGCCCCCTACTGGGTATTGAGCCCGAAAGCCTCCTGCACGCCCCTACTGGGTATTGAGCCCGAAAGCCTCCTGCGTGCCCCCTACTGGGTGGGTATTGAGCCCGAAAGCCTCCTGCGTGCCCCCTACTGGGTGGGTATTGAGCCCGAAAGCCTCCTGCACGCCCCTACTGGGTATTGAGCCCGAAAGCCTCCTGCGTGCCCCCTACTGGGTGGGTATTGAGCCCGAAAGCCTCCTGCGTGCCCCCTACTGGGTGGGTATTGAGCCCGAAAGCCTCCTGCACGCCCCTACTGGGTATTGAGCCCGAAAGCCTCCTGCGTGCCCCCTACTGGGTGGGTATTGAGCCCGAAAGCCTCCTGCGTGCCCCCTACTGGGTGGGTATTGAGCCCGAAAGCCTCCTGCACGCCCCTACTGGGTATTGAGCCCGAAAGCCTCCTGCGTGCCCCCTACTGGGTGGGTATTGAGCCCGAAAGCCTCCTGCGTGCCCCCTACTGGGTGGGTATTGAGCCCGAAAGCCTCCTGCACGCCCCTACTGGGTATTGAGCCCGAAAGCCTCCTGCGTGCCCCCTACTGGGTGGGTATTGAGCCCGAAAGCCTCCTGCGTGCCCCCTACTGGGTGGGTATTGAGCCCGAAAGCCTCCTGCACGCCCCTACTGGGTATTGAGCCCGAAAGCCTCCTGCGTGCCCCCTACTGGGTGGGTATTGAGCCCGAAAGCCTCCTGCGTGCCCCCTACTGGGTGGGTATTGAGCCCGAAAGCCTCCTGCACGCCCCTACTGGGTATTGAGCCCGAAAGCCTCCTGCGTGCCCCCTACTGGGTGGGTATTGAGCCCGAAAGCCTCCTGCGTGCCCCCTACTGGGTGGGTATTGAGCCCGAAAGCCTCCTGCACGCCCCTACTGGGTATTGAGCCCGAAAGCCTCCTGCGTGCCCCCTACTGGGTGGGTATTGAGCCCGAAAGCCTCCTGCGTGCCCCCTACTGGGTGGGTATTGAGCCCGAAAGCCTCCTGCACGCCCCTACTGGGTATTGAGCCCGCAACTGGGACATGTCATAGGACCGTGCTCAACCATTTGAGCCACCCTGAGTGCTTTCAAAGTGGGTTCTCTTAAATCAGTAACATGGCTTCTTCTCCGCATAAATTTAAATCTCTGCCGGCATCTCGCGATTCTCCTTTCTCCATCCCCAGGCGTCCATGAAGCTGACTCCCGTCTCACAGATTAGTAAGCATTTTCTAGCATTTTTACGTAGAGCTCCAAAATGGATCCAGTGCTCTTTGCAAAAGCGGCTATTTTATAAAAATGTCTCTGTGTCAGTAATTCATAGGCTGAGCCACAAATGCAGGAATATCATATGCTCCCTTACCCAAGAGCAGGGGTGGGGAACGTCCAGCCCACAGGTCATACATGGCCCAAGAAATCCTTTGGTGTTGCCTGTCGAGGCCTCACCAAAGAGAAGCCGTTCCAGCCGCCCCATTAGGGGTGAGTTAATTCAATGCTTGACCAAACAGAGCTGGCTAATTTTTAAGTCGATCATTTTGTATGGCCCGCAAATGATGTTATAAATATCCAGATGGCCCTTGGCAGAACAAAGGTTCCCCGCTCCTGCCCAAGAGTATGGCCAGATGATAAATTAGCCGACTCAACCCTTGTTTAATCTGATTCAGCTACTTGCCCACCTGAGGTGCCCTGAGAAAGGGTGGCCTTTCTGACAGAGACAGAAATCAGGTTGGGGCCCTGAGCGGTGAGGCGGCCAGGGCACGTGTGGTGGTTCTGGGGAAAGGGGTGTGTGCATCTGTGTATAAACCATACCCATGGTTTTGTAAACAAAACGGGAACCGTGCCCGGCCGGTCTGGCTCAGTGGTTGAGTTCAGAGCATGCACCAGGCGGTCGCCGGTTCGATTCCCAGCCAGGGCACATGCCCGGGTTGAGGGCTCGATCCCCAGTAGGGAGCATGCAGGAGGGAGCCGGTCAATGACTCTCGTCAAAGGTTTTGCTTCTCCCTCCCTCTCCCTTCCTCTCTCTCTAAAACCAATGAAAACATATTTAAAGAAAAGAAGGGAATTGCGGTCCCGTAATGACCCTGGCCACCCGCGACACCTGCGGAGTCCCCTGTCCTGCAGGCTGGTTGATTTCCTCGGGCGTGGTGAGCGGGCCCCGAGCAGCCGGGAGAGGACGTGGTGGCCGCTTTCCCAAGGCCGTGGCGTCTTGTTTCACGGGACCTGGGCAGCATATCTTGTCATCGGTTCGAGGCCCGGCTGGGGAGCGATGTGCTAGGAGGCACGGGATCGCTATCTCCGCCGTGAAGCCTCTTTCCCAGGCAGATGAGAGCGGGCGCCTCCCTTCTCCCAGAGCCGCGTCGGCTGGAAACAAAGAACTGAAATCGGAGTCCCCACCAAGGCACGTATGTTCTCCTTCAGGATGCCCAGGCGGTGCCCGGGGCCAGCGAGGTGGCTCGGAGTGCGGGCTTCTGTCCAGCTGTCCGTCAACCGTCAGGCCAGGAGGAGAAGCTGAGCAGAGAGCCTTTGCCTTGCCCTTCCTCCTGAGCACTTTGCTGTTCCCGCTCTGCTCAGCCAAGGAAGTGTCCTCGCAGGAAAGGTCAGGGTGGGTGTGGTGACTTTTTTGTTGTGTTTCTCTGTCCGGTTGTCACCTGCACTTTTTCCCTGGGTGTCCAGGCCACGCTCCGGAGATCCTGGCGGGCACTTTGTGGGTGGATCTGGGTGCCGGTATTTTCACAGCCGGCCCCAGGCTGTTTTGCTGCTGCGTAAACTGCCGGCTTCAGCAACTGTGATTGGAAAAGATTAAGACCGGAAAGTGGGTCCCCTGTGGCGTTTTCCTGATCCGCGAGGCCCCCGGGGACGTGCGGGAGGAACACGCGCCTGTGCGCGCGGCCTGTCGGCCTGCTGCGGTTGGGGCTGTTGCTGTCCCTGCGTGGAGGGCGCGGAGACCGTCGCCCGTTTTCCTCAGTTCAGAGCAAATTACTGTACATTCCGCTCTTGAAAAGTCTATATAATTTTAGGCGCCCCGGGGGAAATCTCTTCTCAGTGTCCCGCCGTAAACTGCCTTCTCAAGCTTGCGTTCCCGTTTGAGCCTCAGGAATTGAAATGGTGACCTGCGGCTCGCTTACGGCGCAGCCCGCCTGCCGCCTCACCCTGAGCCGCGCGCTCAGCCCGGCTGGCGTCGCCAGCTGTTTCGCCCGTTACGCGTACGGTTCGGTTCGCTCCCGCCACTCACTCCCCGCCTGCTTGCTGGCAGCCGGAAGCCTCTTTGCGACTCCGATTA